CATATATAGAATCAGTATATACAGTATATTTAATAATAAACTTTATTTATAGAGCACTTTTCAAAACAAATGCTACAAAGTGCTTTCCAAAAAAAAAGAAACATGTTATACACGTATACATGTCCATTTACATACTGTATACACTGATTGTGTGGTGGCCCACTCTGACCCTCTGGCTGCGCCCAGACAGGAAGCTGTGTATCCACTTGCAGGTGGAGTGTGGAAGACCCAGGCCCCCCAGTTTGTCCACCAGTTTGTGGGGGAGGATGGTGTTAAATGCAGAACTGTAATCCACAAAGTAGCTTCCCTGCTGCTCCAGGTGGGACAGTGCAGCATGGAGGGCTGTGGCAACGACATCCTCTGGTGATCTGTTTGCTCTGTACGCAAACTGGTGGGGGTCAAAACTGTGGGGCAGGAGTGATGCGATATGACCACCACGGGGGTGAGTGCGACTGGCCGGTAGTCGTTAAGACTGGAGATGTGGGATTTCTTCGGCAGGGGGATAATAGTGTTACTGTACCTCAGATTTTGTTCAGAGTTTGTATATTTGTTGTTTGGGACTGAAAACGGAGTTCTGTCAAATAGTCTGGCTGATTTAGAGAGCTTCAGGTTTTCATACATTATTGTAAGTCTCACCTGGGAAGCCATTTAAGGGTTAAATATCGAGGGGCTCCGCCGTCGCCGGCTCCCGGCCCGAGTCCGCCCCCAGTGGGGCTCCCGGCCCCCACAGAGGGGCTCCGCCGCCGCCTTCTCCCGGCCCGAGTCCGCCCCCAGTGGGGCTCCCGGCCCCCACAGAGGGGCTCCGCAGTCGCCGTCTCCCGGCCCGAGTTCGGCCCCCGCAGGTGCTCCTCCGTCGCCGTCTCCCGGCCCGAGTCCGGCCCCCACAGAGGGGCTCCGCCGTCGCCTTCTCCCGGCCCGAGTCCGACTTCCACGTGTAAAAAATCAGCTATTGCATTAGATTCCAGTGTGGAAATTAACATTATTCTATGTGTAGAAACCTATTAATATTGTACAGATTCTTCCATTAGCAGAAAATGCTCCTGTACCAGAGTGAAATATGTTTTTCAGTGCTGGTTGTGAAGTCTGACAGCAGCAGCATCACTCAGCCACACACCTCGGGTGAAGCAGCCTGTCACTGAAGGACCGGCTGTCAAAGCGTGCCATTAAGGATGTTCTCCAAAATCGATGATAGCTTGCGTAAAATCCTCCTGTGTGCCTCCACTGGGTCGAGGGGGGCATCCCAGGACAGAGTCGACCTCTTGTATCAGGCTGTTAAATCTGTGTGTGGCTGTCCCAGCATACCTCTGCACAGAACATGGGAGTCGTGTTTCAGAAAATGACAACAGCAAGACACAGAATACTGAAATATTTATGAGAAGATACTTTTTTGTCACAACAATATGCTGTTCACTTGTTATTTTATTCAGAAGTGGATTTGCAGCCAGTGGTAGGCATCGGTTCTTCATTTTTAAGTGTTTAGAGAAACGCATGGATTTGGACCTTGGCGCCTCACAAAGCAACTTCAAATAAATACATAAATAAATAAATAAATTATATATGTGTGATTGCAGGATTCTACCCTTAATATTTGATTTAATAATGTAAATTAGTGTTCTACATAGTATTGTTGGATATATATGTTGCCTTATGAGTTTTCTGCTTTTATGTTGTCTGTCAATGCAATTAGTAAACACTTGTTTTTAAAAGTTCTCTATAAATAAAGTTGTTGTTGTTTTTGTTATGTTGCCTAATGTCACATAATACCAAGGGGAGGACGTTCTCCGTGCAACATTTGGAAAATGTTTTAAGATTTTCACAGCACAAACAGCCAAACAATTCTTCAGACAGCCTTACCCTGCCGTTAAAAAGAACATTGTAGGAAATAAGAAGAAAATGTACCACTCAAAACTTTACTAGAACCTTGCAGAACTTTCTCAGATCGACGGTGGGGACGTGTGAGACGAAAACATTTTTTGAATATTGTTTTTTTTGTTTTCCTCATTATAAAAATAATCTGTCAACCTCTTTCAAACATCCTGTGAATGTTCATGTCTTAGTTCATTTTTAACCTCACAGCAGCGTTGCTTAAAATGATAAACATCCTTCAAACGCTTGAACATCAGATAAAAAAATGTTTTCTTTAAAACATTATTAGAACGTGTAGATAATGTTATCCAGTGTTGCGGGAACATTCCTGAAATGCTGGACAGGAAAGCGAGGAGTTGAAATGTGTGTCACAGCGCCTCTGGTGGACGTGTATGGAAACGAACCTTTTTTTTCTCACCATAATAAAGCTCCCATGTTTTTTTTTTTTCTTTCGCTGACTTGAGATCAGTTTCCATTCCTCTCTGTTTTGGGAAACAGCGGTGAACCCGACCGGAGATCAGCTGCTCTGCCTCCCTCCGCTGCATCCTCCCTACAGCCGGCAACGTGGCAACGCTCAACTCTGCAAAGTTGCTCTTAATTTCCAGATGTGACCAACAATCCAAGGACGCGGTATTTCCTGTCGAACTGACCCAGACGACAGTGTAGGGATTTTTTCATTTCTAATTTTTCTCTCATGATCTTGAGGATGGACGTGGTTTCCTCTTTTGCTGCCTTGTGCGACTGCAGCTGTCAGTGTCCAGGGCGTGCTCCTGTGTTTACCCTCAGCTCTCTGAGCAAACACGACGGACGTGAAGGAAGGCACACACACCCAGCAGTGTGACTGTGATTCTTTTTTGAATTAAATATTCTTTGGTGTTGTTTTTTCTTCTTCTCTTATTTTTCCTCGCATATGGATTTTTTACAGTTTTATTTTCTAGCTGCACACTGTTATTGGTCTCACAGTATTTGGTGAACTTTATCCTCTCCTTATCATGCTCACCGGTTATCAGCTCCTGTTGTGAGTTTCCCATGGAATGATGTGGCAGCTGTGGATGCACTTTGACTGGCATGTGTGAACCGTAAGTACCAGAAAAAACTACATTTCTTTCTGTGGCTTTTGCCTTGCAAGTGAGCTTTCCTTTTCCTATCCGGCACCTCAGGTGCTGAGGGGTCACCATGGATCACAGAGGTCACCAGGGGCCCGACTCCGGCCGGCACTCCCACAGAACTAAAGGCAGAGAGGGCCGCTCCAGGTCTTCCCAGCAGGAAAGAGACCAGCACTACCCACCAGCGGACCCCAGAGAGGGGGACAGACACTGGGGTCATCCCGATCCCCGCTACAGGGCTCATTTCACCAGCCCTCCTCCCAGAGCTGAGCAGTATCCCTACAACGCTCAGCAGTACTCGTACGGTTACGGGCGACCGGAGCACCAAAGACCCCAGTCCAGGTAGGTGCAGTCACAGCTGTTAAAAAAGTGAACTCAAATTTAGGAGTAAATTGTGTGCAATCACAAAATACAAGATTAAGACAAAGGTTGTAACATTTTATGGTGTGATCTATCGATTAGGAGTCGACTGATTTGTTTTGTTAGGACCAGTTATTAGTAGGCAAGGACACCGATAAGAGATATTTGGAACAGATGTACAGTTTCAGTAATTCCAAATATCTTGATGCCAGATTTGTAATAACACTTTGTCAGAATGCCTTTATCTCAGTATGTTTTACACATGTTTACTTTAAAGTGAACTTTTTGATGTTGATCCACAGATAGTGCTGCAAACAAGACATTGCTCATAATCATAGAGCGATAACTGCAGACGGAAAGAGGCATCAGAGACAAAGTAGTGCAGCTTTTGTTTAATTTATTGCATCAGGAATCTGTTGTAGAAAAAAAAAAAGAGATGAAGAAGAAAAAACAATACAGATACCTGGATAAATGGGAATATTGGATGCAGTTATTGGTGAGGCTGATAATCGGTTGACCTGTAATAACAAGTTACGAGTGATTGTTTTGTATGTAGTCACAAAATGCAAGGTTGTAGCACTGCACAGGCGTAGGATACGTAGGGAAGTATTCAGAACATGAGCATTTATCCAGCCCGGTTAAAACATGAAAGAAGTAGAGAACTTTTATTTTGATATGTCATATGTACTCAAGTGCAATCTACCACAAGTATTTCTCAGCTCCCTTTGTTCCTCGCTGCTACTGTAAATACTTTTATATCCATTTTATACCTATTGTCACTTATTTATTTTTATATATATACATCTCGAGGCTCTACAAACATCTTGCACAGTTTGTTTGTTATTTTATAATTTATAGTTGTTCATTGCACTGGATGGGATAGCACCCAGTTATGTTGTACTTTTTTGGTATAATAATAATATTAAATTCAAAACCCTGACACTTGTTTACAAAACCACAACGAGAACAGCTCCCTCCTACCTGAACTCTTTCATTCAGATCTACACTCCCTCCTGCTCACTATGCTCGACCAACAAAAAACGCCTGATCCAACCACCGCAACAGGGTCCAAGGTTGAAAGCTGGACTCTTCTCCTCTGTGGATCCCCGGTGGTGGAACGAGTTACCAAACTCTGTTCAATCTGCTGGACTCCCTCTCAGTCTTTAAGAAAAGACCAAAGACCCAGCTCTTCACTGAACACCTTTGCACTTGACAGCCCGAAAACAAAAAAAAAATTCTGTTGCCTCCCACACAGCCTGCTATTGGCATCAACGCCCTAGCACACTTAAATTTGTTCTATGGCACTTATCTAGATTGTTTCCTCCTGAATAAATCCTTGCTTGTGTTGTATCTGCTCTCAGATCTACGTCACATGTTTCTCCTCTTGCTGCTAAGGAATCGCAAGCACTGAGTTAACCAGGGTTCTTCTTCTCTCCTCAGGCACGGGTACGACTACTCCCCCCATGGCCCCTGGGACTACAGAGACAGCTATGGTTACTACGACTACTACAGAGGGCAGCATGGACATCCAGGTGCAGTGACACAAAACAAGCTTTCAGAAGTCGTCTCCAAGGCTCCGGGTAACGAGACAGTGTTTTACTTTGTTTGTTAAGATGGTGATCAGTGGGGAGCTCAGGACGCATGGAGAACAGACCGGTACCATGAAAGAACACCCAAGCAGGAACATGCAGGGAGCCTCTATACAGGAGAGTACAGGTGAGTCAGGTCCATGAAGTCAAGCCCTTTCCTTTGAAAGAAGAACCTCAACAAGATTCTTCAATTAATTTATCCTCAGAAAATGAATGCATATAATAATTATATAAATTATATTAAAAATAGCAGATATGTTTTATATATATACTTTATATGGATAAACTGTCAGAAATGTCAAAACCATTAAGCATTTCAGCCTTAGTTTGTCCTTTTTTTGAGTTTTGAAAATTAGTTATTTTATTTAGTTTTATGATAGATAGCAAGTATGATCTAGTACAAGCCAACACAACTCAGGACATCAATGAGAAATCGTCACGAGGGCAATTTAAGGTTTTATTTTGTATTTTTTCAAGCACACTAGGCAATTTGACGTGCTTTACAAACAGCACAAAATGTTAAAAATTGAAGTAAAAGAATAGCCAAAGAAAAGATTTATATATAAAGTGTAAAATAAAAGTAGAGGCAACTTTAACTAAAAGCATAGATACATTTAAACCAGGATTTATAAAAGTAGTAGTAGCTTAAGTAGTAATTTAAGTAAAATAAGTGAAATCAAAAATGACAGAGGACATTAAAAGAAAGGAGGAGGAGGAGACGCGAAGTGTGATTGAATACCATGTAAATATAATATAAACTGGGTTAAGCAATTTTATTCTATAAGAAAAAATCTTGGGTTTTGGAAACACTCCTCCAAAATGAATTCAGAGATGTAAGCTAATAAATTAGATTTTTTTGTGTGACTTGTGTTTAATCAGCTGCAGCTGCAAATGCAGTAAACAAGAGCCCCATTTGTTTAGGAGAAGCTGAATTTGTTTAAAACAGGAAGACAGGCGTTGCACATGTTCCTCAGCAGGTTACATGCTGTCAGGACTGTGACCTTTAACCTCAGCTCTAAATCATAGCAGCTCATCTTAGCAGCAGTAGCACGCTGGCACAGTGTAAATATGTGTTGAACAAAGAGATGTGTGATGTATGAGATATGCATACACACACAAACGCTCTAATGCATAAACATAACAGACATGCACACGACTGCAACTCTTGCACAATGTACGCTGAACTTTAGTCTCTTTACCCTGCGTTATTTTTCTTCTATTTTAAGAAATGTCTTGTTATTGCACAGCCTCGTGGAACACTCACTTCACCGCCCGTACTGTGAGCAAGTCAGAAATAAAAATCGTGAATCTTCTGTATGCAGCACTCAGCTGCTTTCATGGTGACAAAACAAGAGGCTGCAAATACACACAAAAGTGCTCTTGGTAACTGTTCATGGATTGTTCACAAAGTAGCAAAGCAAAAATCAGGTGTTCACAGTCTGCAGGTCGACCACACCATCCATCCGTCCATTATCAAAACACCATTTCATCTTCACTAGGATCATGCGGGGCCTGGAATCTATCCCAGCTGACTTAGGGTGAAGGCAGGGGACACCCTGGACAGGTCACCAGTCTATCACAGGGCTACACTTAGAGACAGACAACCAAGCACACTCACATTCACACCTACGGACAATTTAGAATCACCAATTAACCTCAACATGTTTTTGGACTGTGGGAGGAAGTCTGAGAACCTGGAGAGAACCCACGCTGCACGGGGAGAACATGCAAACTCCATGCAGAAAGATCCTGGGTGTCCTCATCGGGACGCGAACCAGTGACCTTCTAGCTGCGAGGCAATGGTGCTAACCACCGATCACCTTGCAGCCCTCAGCCACACCAGCTGTAGTGAATATCTTCAAAAAGTGGAAATGGGAGATAGAACTGTGAAATAAAAATGTAATTTAAATGCATCCTTTCATAATCAGCCGTGTGACGTGTGAAGGTGGAGAGACGTCAGTAAAGAGCTGATCTCAATGGAGAGTTCCTTCAGTTTTGGTTGGATATGAACATGTATGAACACGCTGTGACATAATAATTCACTCCGGCTTTATTTCACGTCCGTGCTTTGACAGAGTCACCAAAATTTTTACATTTTCTTTTGTAACTAATAAAAACTTTAAGCTCCTTGTTCTGTTAATGTTTTAGGTTTCTGCTGAGGGGCAGGTTTAGTGTCCGTATCAATATATTAAGGGAAGGAATCGTGTTGAAGTCAGTATTGTGACATCTAATCTAATGAAACTGTTTTTCCTTCAGGTATGACCAAGGGAGGGACGGCTCCCAGCATTACCTCAATGACTACGAGGAGAGTCCTTCCAGAGAAAACGAGGAGGTTTCCTCTTATCATCTTGGGGTATTGGAACATTCCAAAAACTCAGGGTTATCTTCCAGCAGCTACGAGCTGAGTCAGTACATGAACGGAGCCGAACACGCTGATTCTGTCTCGCAGCCTGCTCACACGTCTGATGGAGGTGAGAGCACAGTTCAAGCAGTTTCCTCTCACATCCGCTTCACTCTGCGTTTAACCCCATCTCCTCTTATGCTTCGTATGTCCTCAGACTATGGGCCTGCGCATCAGATGTCAGCTCCTCTCAAGTACTCCATCCCTCATGCTGTCGTCAGCTTCGGGCCGGCAGGTCAGCTGATACGGGTCAATCCAGGCTTGTCAACGCACGAGACCGTCAGCCAGCTGGAAGTCCACAGTCTGGAAGTAAGTTCAAAATTAGCCTGTGTTGTGCTGTAAGGTGGTGCAGTTGGTAGCACTGTTGCCACGCAGCAAGAAGGTCGTTGGTTTGCGTCCCGGCGGGGGTACTGGGATCTTTCTGTGTGGAGTTTGCATGTTCTCCCTGTGGGTTCTCTCCGGGTTCTCAGACTTCCTCCCACAGTCCAAAAACATGTTGAGGTTAATTGGTGATTCTAAATTGTCCGTAGGTGTGAATGTGAGTGTGCTTGGTTGTCTGTCTCTAAGTGTAGCCCTGTGATAGACTGGTGACCTGTCCAGGGTGTCCCCTGCCTTCACCCTGAGTCGGCTGAGATAAACTCCAGCCCCCCCACGACCCTAGTGAGGATTAAGTGGTGTATAGATAATGGATGGATGGAACACAAATGTATTATTCGAGATTTATTTAAGAATGTCTTTTCTGCAATTTCAGTGAGTTTGATCTCCAGGAGGATTATTTCTTTGGTGCTGATGCAACAAACGCAGTCGAGCATCGTGGTGTGTTTTAGCCATGCTAGCAGTATGGCTTTGGCCAATGTCAGTGAGTCAGTCAGGGTTTTAGGTAAGGACTAGCTTTAAAAAAATGCCCTTCTGTACCTCCCTCTCAACTCAAAGCTAATGTGCAAACTTTTACCTATAAATATCTGTGACATGAAAGCCCTTACCAGTCCAAACAATGCTGATTAAACCTATCAGCTCCAGTTAGTCTCTCCATATTTCACAGTATACAAGAGTTCTATATCTGTGATGACATTACTTAACTAAGTCGACCAATATGATTTGTTTGCCAGAGCTGCTCAGTAAAATGTGGCAACAGAGATGCAGCTGATGTTGCAATGCAAAAAGAAACTCTGCAATTAGAGGAAGGATTTAAGAAAGAAAGCCACTGACAGTGAGGCATCCATCATTGATGTGTGTCTACAGTGTTTGTGTAATTACTGTCACTGCCATAGGGGGGAGACAAAGGTTCTGCACTTCAGGTTTAATTAACGTTTTCTTTTAGGAATATGTAGAGGCCACTTCTGTGATACATTTCAACCCTCTGAATCAATACCTACCAGTGGATCTGAAAGCCATGTCATGTTTTAAAAAATCGCCAAAATTACAGAATTTCTCGGAGCCAGAAACAGTGACAACAGTTGGATTTTCACTAAAGTTTTCCAAGACATAAGCTGGGCACATAAAATCCATCATAAACAGTGTGTTTTCAGGATTGATTTCCAATGTTATTTTGGTTTTTCCCTCTGAACAGGTCATTCTGAGTGAGACACAGGAACAGCAGGAGATGAGAAACTTCCCAGGGCCTCTCACCAGGTACTGCTTTGTCATTTGTTGAAAAGCAATCTTAACAGAATGATTGCATCGGATTGCATTCAGATGTTTGTCAAATCGGAAGTTATTATGGAGACTTGTAAAGATTACATTTAAAAGTCAGTGTTGGAATGTTGAAAGCATTTGATAGTTTTTCATGTTTTTGAAGGGAAGATTTGCACAAAGTCGATGCTATAGAGTTTGCCCACCAGAGGGCAGGAGGCTGCATGAGAGACGACAAGCTGCAGGATAAGAGCTCTGCTGCGCTCCTGTGGAATCTGTTGATACTGCTCTGCAGACAGAACGGAGTGAGTGGATCGTGTTTTGTTATTACACTGAATGTGGAGATGTCCACTTCAGACAAGCATTAGAGTGATCATCAGGATATTTCTGATCACCATATTTCCGATGTTTCAGCAAATAGTTGGGTCAGATATTGCAGAGCTGCTGATGCAGGGCTCAAACTCAGATGGAAGCTGGGAGTCAGGCGATCCCACACTCATTGACTTCAATGAGGATGCGACCGCTGAAGCACCACCTCGCAAAGGAGACGACCTGCTCACAGGAAACTGGAGCAGCTTCAGCTCCGAGAACTCAGAGAAGGCCCTGCAGAGCTACACTCAGCTGCTGCTGGCTGGACGGAAGAAGGTTTCTACATTTCTACCTCTCCAGTCGTCTGTTTGGTTTCTGCTGATAATCTCCTGTTTTTACCTATAATGGTATCCAGTCTGAAATCAGACTTTTTCTAAAGAGTCACCAGATAAATTACTGAGCTTATGAGACGTTTAATAGGATAGAAAAGAAGAAAAACTAAGTTCTGCCAAATGTGCATTTATTTCTTTACTTTTCTCTAATATTTGCTTTGGTTTTTTTTCAGTTCAGTCCAGTTTGTTTTAGCATTTTTTGCTCCGTTCCCCTTTTTCATTCACTGTAGGCCCATTTTGCAGTGTAATATAAAATTCTGCACTTCTACCATGGTTAGAAGTAAAGAGAACTCAAAAAGCATAACAATTATATAGTTATATCGCCAGAAATGATTAAGAAAGGCAAGTTTTTGTTTTGTTCCCATACTTGTCTTCTCTCCTATCTGATTTGTCTAAGAACAGCCTGCAGTTCAGCTAAAAAAGTCCCAGAATCTTTGTCATGTGTCTGGTGGTCATAGCCAAGTCAGTATGGCTTCATGGCTGTATCAAGGATTGCAGAATTTTTTCTTTTTTTACAGAATCTAGTTAGCCCAAATAGTTGATTTATGGCGACAATAACATCTTACATCTTGAAGTGGAACATTACATCACAGACGACTTGACTCTGATGAACTTAGTGTCATTTCTTAACTTAAAGCAACAACATTCCTTTCAAACCTTCCTGCAGGTTTTGGGGTTCGGGTGATAAACCATCAACACGCTATGAAACTTTGGTGCATGCAGTAAAATTAAAAAGAAATGTAAATAATTTACTGTTTACCTCTAAACTGCTGAGCAGAGGTATGAAGCAGCATAAATGTAGATACTGAAGTAAAGGAACTTGTAATGCACTTAGATAATACTTACTTTCTACAACTGGTAATATTTGAGTGCTCTCAAATGCCAAAATGTGAATTGCTGCCGATTTTAATCACACTGTGTTGGGATCTGAGTGCTTGTCCTCCGTCTCTCTCCCATGTGGTTTCCAGGAGGCCCTGGAGGCGGCTATGACCAGCGGCCTGTGGGGCCACGCACTTTTTCTGGCCAGCAAAATGGACAACAGGTCCTACACCACCGTGCTGAACAGGTGAGAAAAGCCGAGGCATCTGAGACATGACAGCTGCAAGAAATCACTGTACGACTCTTTGCACGAGTGGTAATTTGTGAAGAAATCCTGCCTCTGACTAAACATAGATGCTGTCTGCTGTAAGCCTGAGCTACAACTACAAGGAGACGTTAGCAACATTTCCAGACTTGAAATGTCTGAACAAGTGTTGGATACGGATTGCCATGAAATTAGGTACAGACATTCATGTCCTGCACTGGGTGAATTGCAATTACCTGATCCTTTGACTTTTCAGTGCAGGAAATATCAGCGACCTGCTGTGCTAAAGCAAAGCAAAGGCAAAGCGAATTATACATGTGCGCAAATTTTCATGTTGCAGCGTTGCAACTGTCCCTCCGACTGGATCACCGTGACACTCGTATCCTAATCTCAACCAGTCCCACTCCTCACATCCTCATTCATCGGCCAATCAGGTAGCACTTTTCTCATGAATACTAATGAGTTGTCCTCAACCAACCTGGAAAAAGTAAATCCACTACAGCGTTGCATCAGCATATTACTGTGAGCATGTTGATTGTACTGCCAAGTGGAGCTGCCAGCAATTTTGGGACCTGACATGATCCCTAAATGGGGGCCTGCATTTGACTGATTAGAGTTGCAAATCACCCACTGATCAATATTTCCATGTTCTGAGCGGACTCAAGAATCCAAAACATTTGGCTTCAGCAAGAACTAAGAGACAAAGAATCAAAGCAGTACATACTCCTGAGCTGTGTTGCACATGACTAACCGTTTCCTTTATGCAGCACATCTTAGGGCTTTCCCACGGCGCTGTGTCCAAAAATAAGACACTTTATTTAGAATGTGTTGAACGTATATTTATGCAAAGAAGAAGGCAACAAAGGAAATTTATTTTCTCATCTTTTATAAATGACAGAAGATGCTCGAGAATTTTATTCTAAATTCATCAAGGAAGATTGCTTTTCTATGCGAGAACCGCTTTGTTTTTCAAAGTTACTGTGCAGTTATTTAGAATTTGCTGAGGGCATCTTATGAGAGTACATAACAGAGATCATTCACACTTTCCAGTGGAGTGTAAATCATCTGGAGTGACATATAATGAGTTCAGTTAAGTCTTTAATTTGTGCCCATCAGTCACAGGGCTGTCGTCCATTCAGATCAAGCCAAATAAGGGTTGTTACACGTGAAGGATCAGTCTTTAATACAGAGAAATGTATGTACTGTATCGCTATACTGCAGTTTCTGTGAACTACTTATCATGTAACCCAATCCCATTTTTTGCAGACTATTTTGGAATCGGCGTTATGTCGCACTGCAACATATGTCAGGTTGTCAGAAGAGGAGTGTCTGGGGAGAGGGCTGGCAGATAGCCAGAATGAATAGTTGTGATTGACAAGAGGAGCAGAATTTGAGCTATCAGTTTGGTACAGACTAACAGCAGGGAGCTCTCTAAATGGGATGGCTTCTGTCTGAGCACAGTAGTTCTGTAGCTAGTTTGTGGCAAGCATGGTTAAGATGTGCAATGAAACTGCTCTATTGGCAGGTTTACAGGGCAGCTAACGGCCAGTGATCCCCTCCAGACTCTCTTCCAGCTGCTGTCTGGGAGAATCCCTTCTGTAGCCACGGTAAAACATCCAGAATATAATCAAACTCTCACATGAGTGCATTCTACTACTCTAAACAATCTTATATTATTAGTCTATATGAGTTTTAACAATGATGCTCTGTGCCCAGTGCTGTGGAAGTGAAAAATGGGGAGACTGGAGGCCCCATCTGGCTGTGATGCTCTCCAATGAGACGGGAGATCCAGCCGTCCACCAGAAGGCCATCGTCACCATGGGAGATACACTCGGTACAGATACACTGACTGACTGACTGACTGACTGACAGGTTGTCATGCACAGACATGCGAGCTGATGTTTTCTGTTTCTCTTCTCCATGCAGCCTCCAGAGGCCTAATGCATGCTGCCCATGTGTGCTACCTGACAGCCAGTGTTCCCTTTGGGGTGTTTACGCAGAAGGCAGAGAGGCTGGTGCTTCTGGGCAACAGCCACAGGTGAGCTGAGCTTCCAACTTAATGTTATTCATCAGTAACTGCAGGTCAGCTGGTCTTACGGGGGTTGATCAAAAAGTCCCAGTTCTGTGCCTATAGAATTAAAAAAACAAAACTAATTTAAGTCTGACAATCATCCCTGTGGAAGTCGTCTCCTCATGCAGGGCTGCACTGCTCCCAGTGCTCCTGCACCGCTTGTCACGCTTCATAAAAATCCCATTATTTAAAAATGTCATGCACCGTTTTCGATGAGCACTTAACCTCCTAAAAGTTGTCAGACCTGGTAACGCTTCAAGTTGGATTTCATTTTGTGGAAGAGAAAACAGTCACAGAAAGCCAAATCTGGGGAGCAGGCTGAGTAGAGAGCGATGATTGTGCAGTTGTGGCCAAAAAAAACTTGTGCATAATTGGTGCGCTGTGACCGGGCACACTGGCATGTCATCACGCCACAGTTCAGCTTGTTTACGCTGAATGATGCACCTCAGGACTCAGCAGTGGAACTCTGCTTTGACGGTCTAATCCTGGTAAATGAATTCATGGTGCAAAACTGCATATATTTTGGAGAAAACAACAAGCTTACTCCCAGTGCTCCTGACCTGACTCACCTCCAGTCTGAGACTTTTCAACTGTGAAAAAAGTGAAATACAGGTCCTGATGTGATGTACAGTCCCGAAACTCTTTGATCAACCCTCGTGTTGAGAGTAATGTCGTCATTTTCTTTTAAAACATAAAGCCTGTCACCTCATGCTCCTTATTTCAGTCTTTATCTCCTCCCTCCTCTCCTTTCCTTTCCCACAGGCAGTCGCTCCAACGCTTTGCCACAAACTCTGCCATTCAGTGCACCGAGTTATACGAGTACTGCCAGACACTTGTGGATAAAAAGTTTTCAATACCAACCTTTCAGGTAGCTCCTACACACATCACTGTAGCACTTTCAGCCTTTAAGTGAGTCTTAAATAAATGTGTGAGTATTGCTGTGTTGTGGTCAGGTGTATAAGCTCCTGTATGCCAGTCGGCTGCTGGACTGTGGGCTTTCCTCTCAGGCTTTCCATTACTGCGAGCTGGTGGGACAGGCCATCCTCAGGCAGAGGGAGCCTTTCTTTGTTCTGACTGAAGAGCTTGTAAAGGTATACATATCTGACCGGTCTTCTCACAGTGATCTGTCACATAAAGTCTACATGAATGTACTGCATGTTTGTTTTCTGCTGCAGCTTTCAGACAGACTGAGATTCTCAGAGGGTCAGTTCATTGAAGGAGGACTCGAACAAGAACCTGTCTGGCTAAAACACCTACGGGCTCGACACCACAGTTTACAGGTGATCAGCTCGTTTAACCATATCTGAGAGGAAATTCCTCGGGCCTCAGTGCCAATATACATTGATATATACTATCAGTAGTAACAGCTCACTGGATAAAAGTTGTTCTCAGCAGTGAGTTGTGATTTCCTTCATGCCTCTATAGCAGCTTGAATTGAGCCAGTATTTTTACTTACATGTTCTGCATGTCTCAGTGGTATTTCTTTGATTATATGTTCACAAATTACTGCAAGTATTTTGAAATACAAACTAGTCATTTGTTGTTGCATACGATTTATTGACCAAAATTGTATGTTTTCTGGCTGCTGGTTTAAAGTACTGGAGCTTTCTAAAAAATAAAATTAAAAATCCTTCTATTTCAGCCACTGGTCTAATCCATTTTGAAACCAAGATAGATTAAATACATATTTTCTGCATGGCATTAGTTTTTTTTTTTAGGGATTTAGTTTTTTTTAATTAATCAAAAAACATGAAATGATCCGCTAATTTATTATATAGCTAATTTATTAATATAATGTATTTTTTTGTGAAGTAAGGCACAGTTATAATGCCATAAATTGTAACAAAAATAAAATAACTAACTTCTTTGTACAGTTCATAAAAAATGGAAAAAACTGAAATCAACTTGTATAATATTTTTCCATGTGCTTAAAAAACGGACTCTTAATATAATACATATTTTAGCACTTGATTTTTCTTAATTTCTTTCTTTTTTTACAGTTTCCCGCTCTGATAAATAGTTCAGTCTTGGTGTTTTATGTAGAATGTCAAATCATGTAGCTAATCAGATGTTTTAACTTATTTTACACAGATGGGAACTTACGACTATACTGAAACATCCCAGCCAGCTCCTGAGAATAGTACCTATGAGGACAGCAAAGTTTACACAGGTAATTTTACTCCCCTTTTTGATGCAAATGATGCACTGTGGTCTGTTTCCTTTGAAATTACTCCTTTCTTGTATAGTTGTTTAGTTGTATATTTGTATAGTATCATGGCAGTCATTAGCTTCCAATGACAACTATAACTGTTACCTTTCCCTGATGAACTCATTGAAACAAATGCATCTTTGTCACAAAAAGGTAAGACCTTCTGGAGGGAAATTCTGTGGTCAGATGAAACAAAAATTGAGCTTTGTGTCAGCAATGACCAGAAATTTGTCTGGAGGAGAGAAGCTGAGGTCTTTAACCCCCAAAACACCAAACTTTATAAGGCATGGTGGTGGCAGTATAATGCTCTAGGCCTGTTTTGCTGCCAGAGGAACTGGTGCTTCACGCAAAGTAAATGGAATAATGAAAACGGACGATTATCTCCACATTCTTCAGGAACCAAAAAGAAACCTAAAATCATCAGCCAGAGGGTTGGATCTTGGAGACAGTTTGGTGTTCCAACCAGACAATGATCCTTACGCACATCAGACGTGGTAAAGAAATGCATAAATCAGGCTAAAAAGCAGGTTTTAAATGGGCCTTTCCATAGTCCTGACTTACAGCTGATCGAGAACCTGTGGACTGTGATGAAGAAGCAAGTCTTTGTCAGAAAGTCAACACATTTATGTGAACTGTGTCAGTTCAGTCAAGAGCAGTGGTCTACTGAAGGTACCTGACTGAGGTGGAAGTGGCCAAGGGACCTTTAAGCAAACATCAGTGTTGCTCTGTGTTTATTTTTGACCCAGAAGATTTAGTCATATTTCTGGAAGACCTAAAATAAATCCATGAAAAAAAACAAAATGTATGATTGAAAGATGCTTGTGTTTCGATGATCCCATTATAGAAAATGAAGAGTTATAGGAGTCACTGGAAAGTCAAGACGGCCATGACATACATTATCTCTACAAGTGTATATATACTTTAGATCACTGATGAAGTGACTTAATTTTTCTCTACAGAATCGGATTCAGATGATCTAAGCCATGACAATAAGAGTGCTGAGCCTGAACTACTTTACTACACTGAGGACCAAGAAAGCCTTGCGCATCAAACTGAGATGTTGTGGGGCGCTGAAGAACATCAGGACTGGTACAAAACCCGCCTTATTCACTCCTATCAGCCACACACAGATGTTTACTCTTACTTAACATGTGAAACCCAGTCCTGACTGTTATGTCACCCTGTTCTGCCTCTTGTTCTGTCTAGGCCACACGCCAGTTCTCCCTCGATGCCAATAACAGTGGTCTCTGCTCCTCTACCGCCTACTGTGGCCGCAAGCCAAAACTTCAGTTATCATAACACAGATAGCACTGAAGTCAGAAGTGCCTCGCCACATTGTTCTATGAGTAGTCTGCCACCAGGAGCAGAGGGTGAGAATGTAATGTTAAGCAGCGTGCGTTGTGATATTTACTATGGCCTGTGAGGAATCAGTGCATGTGTGATGTTTTGATTTTACTCCTTCTACAGGGGCCGAGTTGTCCTCAGGAGCAGGGACGATGGGAGGTGTTCCTTATCAAAATGTAATTGATATTAAAAAAAAGTGAGGAGCTTAAAGTTCCCAAACTCTTAGTTTGATGTGATCACATAAGAATCATTTTAGTGTAAAGAACTTCTTTAAATGTTTCCAAAAAGTAACCTGGATGCCTGCCATCGTCTGTACTTGCCTTTAAAGATGGAGGTCGACTTCAGTCAGCATGGGCAAAACCAGCAGAGCGTCCCTCAAGGTTTAGAGGCCGAGCAGAGCAAGGAGCCGCCGAAACAGGTGGGTGGAGCCCCGCCATTTACCGTAAATTCCAGACTATGAGTTGCTACTTTTTTTACATGCTTTTTTACACAATGATGCGGCTAATTTATGGATTTTTATGAGTTTTACAAATTTACCTCGAGACGTAAGTGACATTGAGAGCGACAACGAAAGAGAGACTGAGGAAGTGTGTGACGAATTAATTCTGAGGCTGTTCAACTCTGACACTGAAGAAGACGAGTTTAGTGGTTTTAGTGCTCAGGAGGAAGATAAAGATAGTGATCAATGACTTTTTCTGGTAGGCTACTGTATTTTTTATTTTCTTAACCAGCCGTGTTTATGGTACGTATTTGTGTATGTTACCTGTATGTATTTAAATACAAGTTAAAAGAATCTTTCTGTTTAAATATCTCATGTTACAACGTGGACACCTGCAGCTTATAGACAAGTACGGCCAATATATGTACAAAACTTGTTTTCTTTTTAAAGTTAATGGGTGCGGCTTATATTCAGGTGCGCTCAGTAGTCTGGAATTTAAGGTACATGTACACCTGTTAAACCGCATTAGAATCATTTTACATGCGTCACGCTTTCTTTTATGCAGACCACGAAGACAGGATGGTTCAGTGGTTGGTTCAAATCAAAACCCAAAGACGTCCCAAAGGAGAATTTGGAGCCAAGTGGCCAAGCTCAGACAGTAAGATTGAAGCTCATATACTGCTCAGTTACAATCCAAGTTTCCATTTTTTGATATATTATTTATCTTTGTATGTTGTCTTATGAGGTGCCACCCACTGCTAGCCCTTGGCCTCCTCCGCCGCCTGCCGGTGTCCCTCCTGGTATGTTTCCCTCCCAGCCTCCCTCTGCTGGAATAAACCCCTTTTCAAGGAAACCAGGTGAGGCATTTGTTGAGTTACATAATTGTCTGTGTTATTTAGTTATCACTATTTTAGAACAGATTTCAACAATGCAAGCCATAAACATGCTGCCCTGTTATGTCATGCTGTGAGGCCGCTGACCCTCCTGGAGGAGTTGCCAATAACACATTTGGCGACCAATGTGTCCCGTTTCATATTTTGGCTGAAGCGCAGTCATGATGAAAATGCTGCTTGCATTTTTTCCTTACTGAAATTTGAAAATGGTTTGGCTGCTGCTGATGACATTTTGCTTTAATAAAACTATGCAGATGTGGTAATTTTCTGTAAATGTCCTTGTTTATAGGCCAGCAGCTGGGGTAGAAACCATATCGCTGCCTCTCTTCTCTGTCAGAGGTGAGCTAAAGAAGAACATGTTTGTGCTTTCTTACGTTTTTTGTAAAGCTTTTAAATTAAATAAACTCTTAAATGTTGCATTTGCAGGATCACTGATGCCACTAAAACCTTTTACGGTGCCAATATGCCAAACGATCGCTTTCCCTGATCTTGGAAGTTCGATCCATACGGCTCCTGTGCCTGCATTTCTTTTTTAGGAGTGCCCTTTCAAACACCTACAACTTGACCACCATCATGTTGCATGTTGAATACAGAAATACTCCCGATGGACTGGCGTACTGTAGCAACTCATATTGCAGTGACTGAAACAGCCGAGGTGTTCTTTCTGCAAGCTGACGGTGGGGAAATCACCAGTAGACGCAGGACATGCTTGAGGAAGGGGATCATTTAACTGTCTGAACCCAAAAAACCCACCACCAGCTTTTGTTTCAAAAATCACCCACATCAAACCATTTATCAAAAGGCAGAAATTATAAAAAAAAAATAGAAAGACTCATTGACTTTTCAGCTTTCTGATGGTCCTTGAGCTACTCATTATTGACATGCTGTTCTGTTGGGAGACCTAACCAAAGCTAAGTTTGTGATATGGCATTAAAACCACTTTTCTTGTGTTATGTCAAAAGTAACCAAAAATCAGCTGACGTCACCAGATTCTGTAAAAACAAACCATTCTGCGTTTCTGGCGACAACTTTGAAGCCATTACTGACTCCGCTGCAACCAAAAATTACATGAGAAAGACAAATCAGGATGTTGGGCTGAACTGCAGGATGTGTTTACACAGAGCAGAGAGGAAACAAGGACGGAAACAAATCAAAAATGTAAATAGTAAAGACATCAATAGTATGTACAGTCACCTTTTTTTTTTCCAGTCTTGGTAACTGCTTGAAAAAATGTTGTATATGTTGAGTCCAGTTTTTTCAATTGCGGTAAAATCAATAATAAAAAACAAAATCTGATGACTTATGGTATTATAACTTTGTTGTACTGTACACTATACATTTTAGAGTTCTCCATTTGGAGCGATGGTAGTGCTGTTTTCACAGAGGTGCAGAGCTTTCAATTGCAGTGGAAAATGAGCCCACAGTGAATAAAAAATGCAACAAGAGCAAAAAAAAGCATAGTGATTATTAACCCCTTGAAACCGTTTGAAGAATTCATTTGCAAAAACAGATTTCACAAACCTTCAGAAAACCCACTTTTCCATCGTCCACCTGAGACAATATCAATCAAACTTAAGTTATCTCTATTTTTGTCATTTCTACTGAGTCAAATCCACTCAGCTTCAGTTTGATTGATATTATCTCAAGCAAACGACAAAAAAACAAGTTTTCTGAAAATCTACAAAAATGGAGTTATCTGTTTTTGCAAAGGAACTCTTCATTTATACATACAAGAGTTGACTGAGACCAGAAAGATTTGGTGCAAATGTGATCAACTGTGTGCTGTAGTTGCCCTCTGAGTAAGTCATGATTAAGTCAAAGTATTAAGCACATCGAAACCAACATGGGTTGAAACCAAAGTGCTGTTTTATTGTATGAAAAACACAATAAAACACAAGAAGACATTTGAATTAAAGAAGGCAATCAAATGATAAGAATAAACTGTACAACACAATGACAAATGAAGTCAGGGTGTCGAGGTCTAATTGGATGACATGCCAACAAGAAGAGGTGGATCTTCATCAGCAACACATAAGTTTCTAAAGTCTGAGCAGCGCTTATGTGAAAAGGTTCCTGAGATTAGAAGGATCCACTGCAAAGGCTCGATCGCCCAATAAACCCAGTGCTCTCAGTGCTGTGATTATGCAAGAGTTCTGCTAAATAAGGTGTTTTTTATTTACATTACATTGCATCTTAAAACCAACCCTGGCAGACGCTAAAGAGACGACTGCTCTATGCCAAATGCAAAGAGTTAAAATAGTCTGAGTGGTTATAAAGGCTCAAAAACGTTTTCAAAGTCTTCAGGAGACAGATCGGCCTTCACCTCGCCTAGATTAGCAATGCTATATGCAACAAGTGAATCCCCATTGGCAAAAATGTAAGCTACATCTACAACGAGAAATAAACCTCAACTAGTTGCATCATTGTTTATGATAAAATATCTGTGCACTCGCATTTAGATATACCAAAAATCACTTTAGACATAATACATGTTAATAAACACTGTGGTCCTTGAGCCTCAGAGAAGTCACCTTAAGTCTTCCAAGCTGAGTTAGGCTACTAAATTATCTCACAGTGGGGGCAGTGCTTGATTATTTTTACCATCTGTAAAGTGCAGCAGTTGTAGTTTTAATTATACTTGAGACATGTACAGAAAAATAATCCAGGCATAATGTGTTCTCGTGTTGTCAGGCTGCCAAGATTGATGATACCACATGGTGGGAGAGGGAGGGCCACTGGGAAAGACCTCCGCTAGCACCCCCCTCCCTCAAGCCTGCTGTTTATGTGCTGATGAGTTTTGCAGCGCCTTTATCTGAGAGCGGGTTTTATAACTACCACCAGTATGTAGAAGTTTGACTGGCCACGAGGCTCTTTAAAAATGTATATAAAGACATAGTAATATATACTGTGGCGATTAACTTTGGAACCTCCTTTTATTACTGTCACCTTGTAAACATATTTGGATGTAAATGAGATGTTTTCGCTTCACTCACATGACTTTGTACTTGGAGGAGGTCAGTGCTGGTGGGTTCATTACCACTTCATCAGTGCGTTTTTGACTCTTGAGTAAAGCTTTGTAAATGGTTAAACTCTGCATCCGTGCTCTTTATGCGGCTGTTTAATTATTGCATGTGCGACGATCATCCAGGATTAATAGTCACATATTGAAACGTACGTCCAGCCAAGACATTGCCGCGATTCCAAGCAGGGCCTCTCACTTAATGTGGCGCAAGCGACAACACGGCAGGTGCCATCTCCTTTTACGATTAGTCTGCAGTTGCCAAGTGTGAGTGGGACGCACTGGCAAGGAATTCAGCACACACACTCACACACACACACACAGAGCGACAACCACTGTGTGAGTCACCACCAACGGTCTGCCAGTAATGTGTCATAGTACGAACACATTGAGAATTTATAGATTTATGAAAGTCCGTCCCTAATGACATCCACACAGTCACTCAAAGCAAATTCATTTCTGACACTTTGTCAAGTGTATCTCCTAAATGTTTGACATTTTGTACTTTCGTGAATTTGATGTTTCCTGTTTGTTTCTAATGACTCTTTAGTGGGCGTCTAATGAAACACTTTCAGTAAAATGGTCACACTACAAGTTTACTTTTATTTACTCTGTGCAATATAGTTTACAATTTTTTTAGCAAAAGCATAGCATGCAAAGAAATCTTAGAATGATTTCAGACATATTTATTTGACCTACAGTACATCCGTCTGCTTCTGGTGTCCCTAGAATATTAAAACAGTCCCTTTATTTTGACATAGAGACTCAGATATACACTTTATATCAGTGCAAACTGCTTTATTCTCATTATTTTTATTATGTGTAAGATACAAATTAAATTACAACATCCAGCATGATAACAATTGTACTGTCAAACACAATAATGAATAAAAAGCACATGTATATAAAATAATGGCATACTAAACGGTAAAAAAGAAAGAAAAAGCATTGACTGATGAGCTAGCTTCCCTGAACCATTAAACACTGGGCTGGTCTATTATTACAGTATGCACGCAGTCTCCAGAGCTGTGGTGGAAAGTACATCTACTCAAGAACTGTACTGAGGTACAGTCTTGATGATGTACTTTCTGTTTTCTGCTGCTTTATACTTCCACTTAACTACATATCAGACAGAAATTCCACTACATTTATCTGACAGCTTTAGTTACTTACTTACTTGGCAGATTCAGAATAACGATACAAAACGTAATTAGCGACGTATTCTTTTTTTGTCTCCACCCTCGCCAGGTGCAACATCAAAAAGATGAAGTCATTATGGCAACTAGAATCATGAGGCAGTAATAGTATTTACATTGTTCTAAAAAGGACCCTTTTTGTAGTTTACTTGCTACTGAACTTTTACTTTTGGTATATTTTAATTTGAATACTTTTCTCTACTTCCTTTGTCACTGCTCAGGAGCTGCCTCCCAAGTTGTGAGTCTGACTCACCGAACGTAGACTTCAGGTATAAGCCTGCCATCTCCACATTTCATGCAGCATTTTCCTCCTCCTGTTCTTCATAATCCTCTCTGCTGCCAGCAGAACAACAGCTTCCAAACTGCAACTCACACTTTAAAAATGCAGAGTTTTGCTCAAGATTTGAATCACGCAGTTGTGTTTTTTTCTTGTGGATTAGCCATTTTGATGACAGTGTTCACCTCCCCCATCACTGGTTTGCACGAAGACCATCCTGGACTTAACACCGTGCAGTTGAGATTGATTTTTAAAAAACCAGAGGACTGTTTTTTTTTTTTTTTTTACAGAGGTGCAGTCAGACCATTCTCCACATTGCTACCACAGCACTGTGAGGAATCGTCTGGCTATGTGAGACTGTGACTTGCTTCTTACCACTTTTATTTGCAGCTATTGTCATTTGTGTGTCAAAAAAATTGTCCAAGAAGATGCCTGAGATTAAAGAACTATTGTTGCTGCTTGACAACAACAAGCTAAAATCTCTCATCTTATATGCGTTTGACTTTTGCTGCTAATGCTACAGTGGGGTTCTTAAATCTCTGTGCATCCATAAATTCAGGATCATACGAATACTAAAGTGGGGTATTTACATCTTTATGTATCTATAAATTCAGTTTGAGGAGGTGATGGGATTTTTGTGTTAAGTGCCACACTTAAGAAGGGATGCTGTATTTTTAATGGGTGTCCTACCGTTGCCCCCCGGTTTCAAAACCACCGGCCATGTTATGCATATTATAAGCTGCATCCATTTTCTCACTTTTAAAAGGGTATCCTACTCTTGTAACCAGTTTCATATCACATCATTAAACTGTCAGCTCCAGTGTCGATGCTGTGCTGGTGGCAATTTTTATCCCACAACATTCCCATGGAAACCCAGCACCGTTTGGAAAGAGAATGCACATTTTACAACTCATGACGCGCAATTCATATAAATACATACATTAATATATTAATATCAACTGGTGCCCTGTGACGTTGAATGGGTCCTACATGTCTGGAAGTGAATATCCATAATAATTAAAATATTCCAGCATTTAGATTGTAAATAAACAGTGTTAACAAAGGGGTTCATGTGTACAGTACCTGCGTTTAAACAGGCTCAGACACTCTTGTCCCATGTTTCAGCACATGCTGTGAAAGCTTTGTGGCACACTGGAAAGATTTGTCGCACTCCACACAGACAAAGATCCTCCCGGCGCATGTTTGCTCCTGGTGCAGCTGCAGTTTTGTCAGGTGGCTGAAGTTCTTGCTGCAGCCCGTGCAGCTGTGTGGTTTCTCTTTATTGTGAATGAACTGGTGACGAACGAGGCGAGAGGCCATGGCAAAGGCCACGCCGCACTCTTCACATTTGTGGGGCCGCACTCCGCTGTGAATGGCCTCGTGCTCGGTCAGGTTGGAGGACTTTGTGAAACACTTGGCGCACACGGAGCACACATACGGACGCACTCCCGAGTGGATTTTCTGGTGCTCTGCCATGCGACTGGCCAGGGCAAATGCCTTCCCACAGTCGGGGCAGGAGAAGGGTCTTTCTCCCAGGTGCTTACGCTCATGGCGCTTTAGCGAGAGGGGTTTGTTGAAGGTCTTGCCACAGTGGGTGCATGGGAAGGGCTTGTCATTTGTGTGCATGTTCCGTTCATGCTTCCGCAGGTCGGACGAGCGAATGAAGTCCTTGCCGCAAGTGTCACATATGTAGGGCTTTTCACCGGTGTGTGTGCGGATATGCTTTCGGTAATCTGAGGACCAGATATAGGTTTTGACACAGAAGGGGCAGTGATATGGTCTTTCGCCTGTGTGCAGACGCTTGTGCTGCTGCAGTGTGCCCTGATGAGAGTAAGCCTTGCCACATATATCGCACACGTGGGGCTTGAGGCCAGAGTGCGTCTGTAAGTGACTCTGCAGGTTGCAAAGCTTCTTAAAAGCCCAGTGGCAGTGCGAGCATTTGAAGGGGCGGTGCTCTGTGTCCACTTCACTGCGTTTTTTCATTGCGACGAGAAGTCGAGGGATCTTGTCATCTTCACACTTTTTAAGTAACTTCTTCACAGAACCCGTCTTCTTTTTGGTCCTATTCCCACCTCTGCTTGGAGAATAGTCCTCAACATTTAGCTCTTTGAGTTTTGATGTCCTCTGTTTGGCTGAGACATCACTTTGGTGCAAGAGACTGTATTTTCCCTTCTTTTTCACAGCATTCAAGAGCACTTCATTAGGTTCACGCATTGTGTTGGTCTCAGTATATTTAGTGCATTGTAACAATTGTCTATTGTGGTCTTGGTCATTGTTTATCTGTGCTTCTTCTCCTGGTGAAAGCTCAGCAAACTTCTCCACGAGAGACCAGTTGGGTGTTTGAGGGTTCAGATAAAGGATTCCAGTGTCATTGCTTTCTGCAAGTGTGTCCATACTTAGACAAATACTGCCAAATGAAGAGTCGGGCTTCATATTGTGAGTGAGATGTCCATCTGGAGGAGAATGAGTGATATTGTTTCTTCCTTGACGTTTCCTTTTACTTCTTTTTTCAGCAGTCGTCATGTTGCACGTCTGCAGGGACATTTCTTCAGCCATCGTCACTTTGGCATGGAATCATCTGCAGGCAACTCCGAACACAACCTTCTTTAAAACAACCTAAAAAACAAAATAGACAAAACATCTTACTCTCAAAGACTTCCTCTGTTTGAATCTAACTTGACAGACCTTCTGGCAGCTTCTCTGCTGCTGCTGCATGCACCAGTTATCTGGGGAATCTCCTATACATGACTTCGCACCTCGCGGACATTTGACACCTGAATTCCAAAACTTCAACATATGTTCCTCCAGAGTTATTGCTCAACTTTCCATTAAAATACAACATGGTTTTGTAACTTCGCAAACATTTTTAAGAGCGACTTACCCTGCGGTCTCCCTCTGAGCAGGTCAGGTCCAGCAGATGCCGCAGAGATCCTGTAGCTCCGGGTATAGTTTAACTCTACGAGATGTCCAGTGGTGTTACCGGGCGGAGTTTGGCAGCAGCCGTCTCTGGGTCAGCATCTATCCTGCATGTCAGCAGTGGTAATGATATCTTCACAGCCAGGCTCAGCTTTCTTCCCTCTGACTTGGCTTACCACCCATTTGCCTATAGCCAGTTGAGTAACATTCAGCACCGCCAGAGAAACAAGACCTTCAGACTCCCGTTAAGTTAGACACCGTTACAAACATTTCTATGAAGTTTTAGGTGACCTGCGGGAGCTTTAAAGTGACTTTGTTGACAGCTATTCAATCAATTGAGCTGGCTAATAAAATCAACGTGAAGAAGTACAGATTGCCTTAGTGTTAGTACATTACATGATATCTGATTCTAAGTGTTTTTAAGTGTTACCTGGTACCTAAATTATCCTTTCCTTTAAATTCTTCTCTTTTAACCATTAACTGATACAGAAAAAGCACAAATTAGTGTATTAAAATCATCAAGTCCCCTGCTTAATGTGTGCTGGAAGAAGTATTCAGATCCTTTAGTGAAGTATTCATACACATTGTTAACATCCAAGCTGCCTAGCCCTCTAAGGTCCACATTTACAGAATTACATGCATCACACACTTTAAGCTGTAGCTGTGTTTACACGTCCAACTATTGGTTATGAACTCACAAAACTGGCAAACTTTGCTTAAAGCTCTTCTCTGTTGTTTTGTTTGATTTATTGGATATGTGCAGATATTCAGATAAGTAAAGTGCCCTAAATATGTTAATGTGGTTAATAAAATGTGTGTAACATGCTGATATTTATTGACTGAGGAATTCATTCATGACATTAGGTTTGGAGCTCGTTTTGTCCGTGTTGCAGTTCTGCATGTCCAAGAGTGGTGATCGAATTGCAAAACGACATTTCCGTAGTATTTGGTAGCATTGCCTTTAAACTGTATGACTTGGGTCAAATGTTTTGGGTTTCATTCCACAAGCTTCTCACAATAGTTTGATGAATTTTGCCAAATCCTCCTGACAGAACTGGTGGAACTGAGTCAGATTTGTTGGTCGCATTGCTCCACACACCTTCTCAGCTCTTCCCACAAGTTTTCTTCAGGATTGAGAGGAGGGCTTTGTGATGGCCACTCCAAAACATTGACTTTGTTGTCCTGAAGCCTCTTTGTAACTAATCTGACAGTATGCTTAGGGTCATTGTCCATTTGAAGACCCATTTTTCTGGGGGGTGGACCATGTAGTGTATGGAGGGTGGGGCCGTTTGAGTGGGTGGGACTGTTTGCCCCACTCCCACCACGGCATGGTTACTGCCCCTCAATTTTAATTGCAAAAAACCCCCCACACAATTCACTTACATTTATGAGAGGGGGAAGTGAGGGAAATGGGGTCCTCACACCCCTGTATCCAGGCTGGTGCCTGGCGGGGTCAGCGGCTGCTGGTCTTGGCCCACTGGGGCCTCTGCTCCACGGCCGTGCCGGGCTCTGGCTGGGGTCTTTCTCTGCCGCCATCTGAGGGGATGCGTGTTCACCTCAGTGGTGTGGTGGCTGAGATTCGTACTCCGGGATTGCTGCTGATGGCTCGGGTCTTGGGCCTCTCCTGGTCTGCATCTGTCCTTCGCAGGGGCTCGGTTGCACTTGCATGGCTGCACTCATGTCTGAACACTCCTCACCCCACACATTCTGTAAAATGACACTGCATTGTCTGCACTAATACCTACCTTTGTTTGCTTTGCTTATTTTATTTATTTATTTCTTCTGACATATGTAGTTTGTTTGTGTTTTTTCGTTTGTGTTTCTTTTCCCTCTCTCATCAATCTGTGCATATATAAACCTTATGCTCTGGTAATCGTTGAGATTCAGGTTTTCTCAGCTTCCTTTTTGAATTTCTTTATTTTTTCTTTATTTCTTTGTTTGCAGCTTGTGGTTCATTTGTTGTCATTTTTAGACTTATGAGCTGAGAAGCAATGAGTGATCTTACATACTGTATTTAAATCCAGGGACATTGTGCTGTAACTAGCAATACTGGAAGGCACAAAACGGTAACCTCTGTAATGTCAAACTAATGTGAAAAAAGAGACACTTTATCTCAAGTATGCACGGGACTATTTGATGGATCTGTTAACAACTCATAGACATCTGAAATGTGAACGTGACAACGCGCTGCTTTTTGTAAGAAGCCGAAAAGGTTAGAAACTTCTTTTTTAATCTTTACCCTTTGTGTTGTATTTTACATTTTTCTTAGAAATATATTATCCAGGCTCATGGCTCATTCTGTGTAGGCTGCAAGGTGGCGCAGTTGGTAGCACTGTTGACTTGCAGAAGGTTGCTGGTTCGCGTCCCGGTAGGGGCACCGGAATCTTTTTGCGTGGAGTTTGCATGTTCTCCCCGTGCAGTGTGGGTTCTCTCCGGGTTCTCTGGCTTCCTCCCACACAGTCCAAAAACATGTTGAGGTTATTTGGTGATTCTAAATTGTCCGTAGGTGTGAATGTGAGTGTGCTTGGTTGTCTGTCTCTAAGTGTAGCCCTGTGATAAACTGGTGACCTGTCCAGGGTGTCCCCTGCCTTCACCCTGAGTCGGCTGGGATAGACTCCAGCCCCCCCGCGACCCTAGTGAGGATTAAGTGGTGTATAGATAATGGATGGATGGATGTATTATCTACTGTGTAAGTTGTCAGATAAATGCGGTTGAGTAGAAACCCCCACATTTCCTTTTTGAAATATAGATTGGAAGAATAAAGTAGCCTAAATAAATACTCTAGTGAAGTAGAAGTACCTCAGAATTGTACTTGAGTAAATGTACTTCGTTACCTTTCAACACTGGTTTACACATAAGGAATGATGAAATTCAGCATCACTCTAATGATATGTTACCAATCACAGCAGAGCTCTAGGACTTTTCCTTTCTATTTTAAGTTCACAAGCATTATCAGATCTTGGCCTCAAGATGTCGCTGTTTACCTGATATATTTATGAGCACGAGCTGTGGAAAATCACCGGCTCCACTACACACAAAAAACAAGGAAATCCTATCTTAGAATGCATCTCATTGAGGACCGGAACAAAATGTTCTCAGTTTAATCTTTGAAAAAGAAAGTTGAAAAGAGGGAGAGAAAAGAGTTTAGTGTGAATTAGAAACATTTCAAGCAATAGTTTTCCAAAAAAGAGAGGAGGGAAACGGATTTGATTTAGTGTGACTCATTTCAAGAACATTGTGTGCAGCTTTTAAATGATGAACAAGATTTCATTCAGATTGTTATCAGTACATGATTATGTATCCGTATCATATAATTAGCAATTTGGGAAGCATTCAAAGTGGTGTTGGAAGAAATCCGTGAGGACGATGGAGTCGATCTGTAGGAGCAATACTTTAATAAACAATAGCAGGCCATGTGTTTGTCAGCTTTTGAAACTCAGAGTTTAGCAATAATGTTTCTGCTCTGGAAATGAGGTTCACTAATTGGACAAAAATCCATCAGTCTGTGCAGCAGGGAGGGAGCTGGTTCTCTTCTCGTAATAGAACAGAAACTCTCTTTTACACTGTGAGACAGACAGGTTTCCAGCAGTCAGCCTGCATGCATTAAGTAACTGAAAGGTTAATTAAATGGACAGTGCTGGTGTGCACTCAGAACGCTTTCCCTGGAGAGTGGACTGAAATTGGAGCCTCGACAAATCACCTTTACAAGGCTGTGTTTTAAACCCACTTGTACCTTGTTCGTCCACACATATCAAGTTTTTGTCTCTGTGGAGTTTCTGCTCTTTGCAGTTTCCCACACAGCAAGAACACTGGTGCATTTCCTTATTCAAGCTTTTAAGAATGTTAAACAACGGCCTGTTAGTTGCTCAATGAAAGATGTGAATCTCTAATTTAGGAATCTGTCACGCAAAGACAAAAAGAGGCACAGCTGTGGATTGGTACATGTGGAAATGCCCTCTGCAATTTATGCAGCATTCATTTTAATCAAAACATCAAGTTCTCTTTCATACACAAATCATTTGCAGCGACCAAAAATAATTTTAAAAATCCATCAAAGTGAAACCTGGACAGCGGGAGTTGAACTGTCCGTGTCTCAGAGTCTTTGTGTTTGTCAACTGGAAGCTGTCACAACAAAGCTGTGGTTGCGTAAGCGCCTGGTAGTGACGTCACACATGAACCCGGATGGCGAAGCTGTACTAACAAGCAGCTTCATCAGAGCATCACCCAGGAAGTCCCTGTTGGGATTAAAGCCGCTGTGGTTTGTTACTTTACTTTGTGTTTGTGTTTCTTCCAGACCCCCAGTCAGGAAAGTGTTTTTCTCTCGTCTTCAGAAAAATAAAGAGAAAAGACATGTGCATGCTTCCTCACGCTGAAATCAAGTGTGAACTTTGCTCAAATGCAGAATATTATTTAATGTGATTTAACAGGATCTATTTGGCCCCTAAATAGATTTAAAGAAAACAACCTAAACATGCTCTGATGAACCTTTCATTGAATTGTGTTGGAACTGTGCTCAGAAAAGGTGCCGAGTCATTCTGGGGGGAGGTTCTTTAAACCTCTTGGTGGAGTAGATGGCCTTAATTGAGAACATACCCAAGCTGGGAATTTTCCACAGACCTCCACTCTCCGGCTGTGGAAATTGCTTGATTCGCTTTGCTTTTCATCCAGTTACATAAGTGGTGCCCGACAGGACGTCGACCCACATTGTACCGCTTACTGCAGACCTGATGCAGCTGTACCTCTCAGTGTAATTTTTTTTTTTTATATATGTTTTTGCGCTATTTCCTTGTCTCATATCAGAAACAAAAGCATTGCACAGATTAAACTCTCAGGATTTTATTTTTAGATCTTAAATTTAAAATTGTTCAAAAGCACAGAAAGTGGACAAATTAACATAATAGATTGCAAACCGATGCTGCACCACTCCAGGGGTGAATTTGCATCTTTACGGCGACAATGAAGAGACTGTATTCAAATGTAAAAACTGTTTTAATGATGAGGTTTAATCACTGGTTATCT